CCACAATATGCTCTCACACCCCTCCCACCCTCTGTTTTCTATTCACCACCGGCTAATATTTGTTTAATTCCACTCGGGAATTACGCTGCTTTCATTAGAACCCCCTCGGATAGATCTCGTTCCATCACTCTGCTTAATGTATTCCGGGGAAAATCAGATAGAACAAAAATCAAATAAACAGAGACCAAATGGAGACTCCTCGTAGAAACCACTGTTAGCGTAAAAAACGAAATCGTTCAAGGGAGAGACAAAAAACTTTCCTTTTATATCATATATATTACATTTTTCTGTATTTTTATCCAATAAGCTGGAGCAAAAAGAAATCGAATATTGTAGAAAATATTGTAAATGTCGAAAGATAAATTATTCAAGAGAGAGAAAAATCTTCCAAATTAGAAATCATTTACCAATATAAATGCATTTTAAAATTTTCTATTTTGTGCACTGATATAGTACAAATTCATTAAAGAAAGGAATTGTAAAAAAGATCTCGTGCGTAACGACATTTTAGTTAACAGAGAAAATTGATTGTACGATTTATTAGCATTTTCGTACTTTTTACTACAGTCCTCGTCATCTTTCCATCGTTTTGTAACTCGTAATAAATTATGCACCAATAAATTCACAATTTCTCGTGCCTCGGTATGCAACTCATCGTAACTAATTTTGTAACACAGCATCAAGTCGTTCATTGACCTTTGCATACTTAATTTTTCAAGTATGTAAGTTTGACGCGTGATATATTGAAGAAAATGTAGTGTTTTACAAAAATCACGTGCACGTAGAACATACTGAGACTTTTAATCAGGGTTGCATCATCGCACTCGCAAGCCTTAGGCATTTCTGTAATGACCCCGCCATCTACCACCCCTCAGCACACTTGATTTCACATGCTTGACGACTGACCTGACCCTCCTTTTTATTGAAATATTTGATTTCATGGTTATCTACGGTATTATTAAATTGTACATCGTGAAATACCTCCAAAATGTAATATTTGCAACGTATCAGTTTTTAAAATATGCTTTAAACTTAATGCATTTATACGTTGACGTATCAAATATAGTAAAATATGACCCTTCAAAGAGTTGTAACAAATTTTCCATTGCGGATGATAAAATAAAATTTTCGATCATGAATATAAATTACGAATTCACACCTACAAATTAAAAATAATTTAGTCAATCGAAACGAGGTGAAAATCGAAAGTTTGAAATCGAAAGTCGGGAGTTGAAAATTAACGCAATAATTTTTTCGTTAATCTTCTTAGATTCTACAAATTTTAATGAAATTCGTTTCACACGACTATATTACAACAAACATAAATTTCTGACTGACATCACGGTAGTAAAAAAATGTGTTTATTTTAATCATTAAAACCCGAACTCTAAAAATTTCAATTCGCATAAAAATCTGCCGTCTAGTGACAATAACTGCATTTCCACTCGACCGGTAATGCAAGTGAAAGAATTCTCGATTTACACGAAAAAATGAGTATAAAACAACATTTTTTCGCAACTGTCCGAGTGATCGGAGAAATTCACTTCCGAGTGGGCTCTTAAACAAGGCACGGGGCCTGTTCGTTATCCATTCTTTCCGCTTACAGTGAGTTAGAATATGTACAGGGTGTCCCATATTTTCAAGGCATGCGCGTAAAGTTTATTAACGGTTTGCCAGTCGCAGCTTACAAAAAGAAATTAGCAATTGAAAATCAAAGGTTCCCGGCGCACGTATTGTATCTTACAATTGTTGTGTGTTCGTTCGCGTGCAGATGTGCATCTTGTCAAAACCAGAGTGGTTAATGCTCCCAACTCTGGTCTCTCCCTTCGCCGCCCTACTACGATTTCTCCACAGCTTTCAACGCGTTTTTACTGTTTTTAATAATACCGTGCGCGCCCTTAGTTCTTTTTCACGCACTGTAGAAAATTGTCTCGCGTGGAAAGGAAATTTATTGTACGCGCTCCAACACTATTTCACTCCATTCAATGCTGCATTAATAATACGTACCTCTCGTTTCTCGATGCTATAACTATAATATTTATTACAATTTCTGCTGTTATCTACGAATTGACGTTGCGATGCACAGAAATTAGCGCGCGGGTTTCTGAACCCATCCGGGGTTGTAAGACTCGGATTGAACCGATCATGGGCGCGTTTTGATTCCTGTTCCGCTGATTAATTGCCTGCCAAATTAATCTTGGGCAATTGGATCCGATCGGTGGAGAGCAGTGGTTGCCCGTATAATTATTGTAATTGTATGTTCTCGACTGATGGAGAAGAGGTTGTCTCGAACGATGGACTGTTTCCGAATTGTTAATGTAAGTTGGCGAGACGTGTGATGCGACTCTACTCTGTTCTGTAATGCCTTCTGATAAGTCGTCCCGTTTTTTCGGGAGTCCGTATCACGACCCCCACTTACCCTTGGTAAGGGTGGGAGCGGTACCTGCATGGATGTGGAATCTTTGAAGCATTTGGCAAGGTTACGAACTTCCTCCAGGTCGATCGTCGGTAGCCACGAATGCTGGTACGATTTCGGGAGACCCTTCGGAAGTGCCGAGTTTATGACACGTCACAGTTATTGAGAATAACGAAACGAAAGGTTGCTATTGCCAAATCTCAAAAATAACCTTTTGTCATATCCGTGTGATAAATCCTGTCGACGAAGATTCCACGCATTTTGTTCCCATGCGATGGAACAATCTATAATATTCTGAAATGTATTTAAACTGTATCTTAACTGTTAAACAAACTTTCCAACGTGTTTGGTGACGTTCCCATTTGTAATATCTCCGAGAGCGAAAAGGATGATAAATGCATATCACCACACTGTGGATCATTACGTGAAATCAAAATTTTTCTCTTTCATTGAAAAATGTAATTTCGTACTTTTTTAGATGATCGTTGAGAGTTTAGAATAATTTGTGCATATTCAGAAATTCTTTTAATTTTCTAAATTCTTTTTTTTTCTTAATTTTACCCATTCAATTTTTATTCTAAACGTATAAAATCTGCAGTCTAATTATTACACGCAATCGAATAAATTTGATTCTGATTAATACACATACTTTATGTGACAAATAAACTCAGCAAACAGTGAAATGTTTTGCACCTCATCAGTTTTTAATGGAACCAGTGCAAAAAGTTCCCGAGAGATAACGGACAGGATTGCGGTTCTATAAATTACGTATTACTCGGCAATTAATAATTCCGGTTAATCTTAAATTCTGATTCAACTGCCGAGTTATAGGGCGCAAGCGGTAATAAATTGCTTCTGGCATTGAACGCGTTCTCGGGTTACCTGATATGTTTGTAGTAACAGTAACTAAACATGTTACAATGCGATATTGAACCCATCAGTTTCATTCAAACTAAACAGTTTTCCAGTTACGAAGACTATTCAATATCGTTTTATGGATAACGGTTTGCGCTCGGCTCGACGATTAAAATCAACACGATTTAAATACCAAGACAGATTCGATTTCACGGGTAATTATTTTTATCGGACTTACATGTTGGCCTCGTCCTATTCGGTCTCGTCAATGGTATCCATGGTCTCTGTGGTGGATGATTTGCAGTGACTGTAAATATAAAAGGGTAGTTGNCATCCGGGGTTGTAAGACTCGGATTGAACCGATCATGGGCGCGTTTTGATTCCTGTTCCGCTGATTAATTGCCTGCCAAATTAATCTTGGGCAATTGGATCCGATCGGTGGAGAGCAGTGGTTGCCCGTATAATTATTGTAATTGTATGTTCTCGACTGATGGAGAAGAGGTTGTCTCGAACGATGGACTGTTTCCGAATTGTTAATGTAAGTTGGCGAGACGTGTGATGCGACTCTACTCTGTTCTGTAATGCCTTCTGATAAGTCGTCCCGTTTTTTCGGGAGTCCGTATCACGACCCCCACTTACCCTTGGTAAGGGTGGGAGCGGTACCTGCATGGATGTGGAATCTTTGAAGCATTTGGCAAGGTTACGAACTTCCTCCAGGTCGATCGTCGGTAGCCACGAATGCTGGTACGATTTCGGGAGACCCTTCGGAAGTGCCGAGTTTATGACACGTCACAGTTATTGAGAATAACGAAACGAAAGGTTGCTATTGCCAAATCTCAAAAATAACCTTTTGTCATATCCGTGTGATAAATCCTGTCGACGAAGATTCCACGCATTTTGTTCCCATGCGATGGAACAATCTATAATATTCTGAAATGTATTTAAACTGTATCTTAACTGTTAAACAAACTTTCCAACGTGTTTGGTGACGTTCCCATTTGTAATATCTCCGAGAGCGAAAAGGATGATAAATGCATATCACCACACTGTGGATCATTACGTGAAATCAAAATTTTTCTCTTTCATTGAAAAATGTAATTTCGTACTTTTTTAGATGATCGTTGAGAGTTTAGAATAATTTGTGCATATTCAGAAATTCTTTTAATTTTCTAAATTCTTTTTTTTTCTTAATTTTACCCATTCAATTTTTATTCTAAACGTATAAAATCTGCAGTCTAATTATTACACGCAATCGAATAAATTTGATTCTGATTAATACACATACTTTATGTGACAAATAAACTCAGCAAACAGTGAAATGTTTTGCACCTCATCAGTTTTTAATGGAACCAGTGCAAAAAGTTCCCGAGAGATAACGGACAGGATTGCGGTTCTATAAATTACGTATTACTCGGCAATTAATAATTCCGGTTAATCTTAAATTCTGATTCAACTGCCGAGTTATAGGGCGCAAGCGGTAATAAATTGCTTCTGGCATTGAACGCGTTCTCGGGTTACCTGATATGTTTGTAGTAACAGTAACTAAACATGTTACAATGCGATATTGAACCCATCAGTTTCATTCAAACTAAACAGTTTTCCAGTTACGAAGACTATTCAATATCGTTTTATGGATAACGGTTTGCGCTCGGCTCGACGATTAAAATCAACACGATTTAAATACCAAGACAGATTCGATTTCACGGGTAATTATTTTTATCGGACTTACATGTTGGCCTCGTCCTATTCGGTCTCGTCAATGGTATCCATGGTCTCTGTGGTGGATGATTTGCAGTGACTGTAAATATAAAAGGGTAGTTGTTAATTAAAGCTGATCATAACGCTGAATCACTGTACTACGTAGCTGAATATAAAATATATAGTGTAAAAAGTTGGTTTAGATAGAACACTGTTTTAAAATTCCCGTCTCATTGATTCTAAATATTAAGTATGCATATTTAACGGTTAAAGTTTCTCATTTTTTAAGCAATTCGTTACAATTTCCTATGAAAACATATCTATGGTTTTAACAGTTTCTTAAATAAATTGGAGAAAGTACCAAGCAGTTGAAACTACTCGTTTTTCATTTTTATTGTAATACATATTATTTTCCTTAAGACAGCATCTTTATGATTTTTGTAGTTTTTTAAGTGAACTGTACACAAACGTATTCACATGTTTATGATATTAGTACTGGAGCTACCGGATAATATTTTGCAACAATATTAAAAGTGTATTTGTCAATAATTGACGAAACTATTAATGTAGTGGTTGTACGTATGCATCTAATTAACGATTTCTTACAAAAATACATGTACGATTTCAGCGATAATAATATCAAACGTTTGGTATTGTGTGTTATGTAAGAAACAACTCTTTCATTGTTATTGTTCAAGCAAACAATAATCTTTGCCAGAAACTTATCTCGTTTCCAATCAGAAACATAAATAATGACTCATTCGTATACAATGCATGACATATAGGAAACGTTTATTTCAAGTGAGCAATAAATACAAATATTGGTTATAGAAAATATCGTTCGAATAAAATTGTATTTGAAACGTTATTCGGAACACAAGTTGAATAAAACTTTTTTCAACGAATTTATTCGGAAGATTTGTCGAATCAAATTTTATTCAAATAATGTCAGACTCTGCCACACGTACACTTTTCAAAGAGATTGCAGCAGCTAACTGGTTAAAACGGAAAGTTGATTATTTCAATCGCCGTGAAAAATGGCTTGCTCGTAGAGCTGCTCTATACACGATAGATCATACTTAATCAGAAGTTTAATAAACGAAGCAAATAGCATCACCGGAAAAATAATTCTCGCGGAGCACGAAATTCTTGGGAGAATACTTCGGGAGCCGGGCTTCGAATTTCAGATACCGCGAACTTTCCGTTAACTACCCACAATTTCCCTAGCCGACCCTTAAAATCAAATAGAGATTCGGTACGGGATTCGTAACGAAACGTTTTCAAAGTTTTTGAACCCGATGGCCGGGTAGGTCGAGTCGAGTCGCGTCGCGTCACGGCTTGTCGCTGTGTGGATCTAGCAAACGAAACGCGTCGAATGACAGCGCGAACAAATTAGAAGTTCCGAGTTGCACATGCACGAAGGTAGGTTGGTTAAAGCCGAGTCCCAACTAGAAGATTACTAGCGAACTTTGTCAACTGGCGGGATCTGGTGTAAGGGGGCGATGGCGAGAGCACTCTCCTGGCAGTCTTCAACTCGTTCGTAGCTCGCGACGACGTCGAGGGCTTTGAATTGTTAATTCTGATTACCTTCGCGCCCTGACGTACTTTGCTTCTGCCACTTATTTAATGTACCGCCATTTGTGTCAGAGTTGAATCACGCCTTACGATTTCAGGATTGTTACCGCCATTTCTGGAGCCACGTGAACGTTCTCCATTACCGGCGAGTCACTCTATACAGCAAAGTTTGCCCATTATTTCGAGAAAATTAACTTGACGATTTACCCGACGCCTGTTACCTAATAGAAGCAGGTAACAATCAGGAGGAAATAATTCAGCGTTCCTTGATGTGTCTAACCTTCCGCGAACCAGGTGAAAAAAACTGTGACGCTTTGGACCATTTGGGGTTAATTGTATTCCGAACATTATCCATCTACAGGTGTTTCATCGTTTTTGTAAGAAGGACAGACCTCGATAAAACAGACATCGATGTTTTAAAAATAAACGATTCGTTATTAACGCCATTATTAACGCCATTATTAACATTATCAAATTTGTTTACATTTAAAAAAACTGTTAAAATTGTAACTGTTGCATGAGTCATAAAACTTAATCTCATATATATCAAGTGCACTAGGTTATATGAAATGGAAACACCATAGGTCGGAAAAAATATTTTGGATTTCGTGTTAAAATGGCTCCGGCTGCCCAAGGTTTAATTACCTTAATAAAATAATAATTTGACTCTTTAATTGTAATTTAATTACGTTAATTTAATTACATTATAGGGTTAATAAGCCCGTCGGGGTTAATTGGACGTCATGTTTGTGAAATAACAAAACTTTCTTGACTATCGAAGTAGAAATGATTGAACACTTGCTATATAGCCAGTAAGAAACCTGTTGGCAGACTTTTGGAAGCTAAAGTGTTAGTAATGAATTTAACAAATGATATATTTCTTAATTATCATCGGGTTTAACAACGAGTTGTTTTGCCCACCGGCGGCCATTTTGATTTTATACATAATTTGGATATTGTTCTTATATTGCTACGAAATTAAATATTGCTGAGAATTAATGCATTTTTCTGATAAAATTGCGAATGCAATTTTGCATTTTAAAGTCGAGTGTAAAATAAATAAAACAGCAGATAAAAGTAATTAAACGATTATAAACTAGTAGATTATCAGCATGATAAATAGATTAATCATAAACAAATAATGTAACGCTCAATGTGTTACACATTTTCATTGTTATTGTTAGTTCATTAATACTCCATAATTAATTATTTACACTAATTTCTGTAAATATCGAAATGTGAGATTGACGCTAGTATTAATTTATTCAGTGGACTGTCCCAAACAGAAAATTTGATTCTAACAAAAGAAGATTATTAAGATCCATTGAAAAATAGAGATAGTAATATTTTCGGGTCGTACACAAACGAAGAAAGTTTAATGAGAAATCATAATTAAGAATTCAAACAAAGTTTATCGAAAAATAACAGTAGCCATAAGTTATTTATCTTTTGGACTGTTTCTATTTTTTTCAGAGACAATTACGCCTGCCAATTATATTTTGCGATTATAAAATTGCATGTTTGGTAGGTTTTGCTGTGGTACTATACATTGTAGAAAGGCAACGCAATGATGTGCATATGTAACATCACAGTGATCAGCCGTGACATGGAAGATTATATGCACGTTCCAATAAAAAGGAGGTCTGAATGGAATGTTGCAATGTACATATATTGTCGTTACCAATGGTCCCGCCAGAGTCAACCTAATCAGCGATACTGACGCTGCAATGTTCCAGTGATAGCGCTGAGGGCAGATAGTAGATCGCGCTGACTGGATTATTATAATTGCAGAACGATGGGGGATGGCAGAAGGATGCCGCTGCAAGAACGCTCATTAAACTAGTTCATTACACCTGCTTGTACTAATGGGTCTCACTTACAGGAACTCACGATAATTAAATAGTGTAACGAATGTCACTCTTTTTGTACCAGTCACTAGAGGATATCGGGACTTCAATGTATAAAATTCTATGATATCACGTACCTGCGTGGAGAATTATCGCTGATTATTTTTCACAGTTGTTTTTAACGAGCTGTGCGTATGCAATCGCTAACAAATTTAAAAAGTTTAATTTAAAGTTCCTAGAATCCCAATTACAGACCGTTGATTAGTAAATTGAGATCTTATGCGTTTACGACAAAAATTACTAAAGTGCAATAGGCTCTTATCTCTTGCAATTAATGCAGAAAATTTGTATTTTGCGTAGAGATACGCAATCTGTTTTTTTAGCGCTTTGCGGAGCACGTCGAGATAATAATTTAAAAAACAAGTTTGGACATTCTATTTGACGCAATTATTTATTTAAATTTTCTAAGAGATTTAGAACAAGATTCTTCCTCGCCTAAAAAGTTGCCTAAATATTACGAGGACATGTATTTGACAAAACTATCTATTTATTAAAAGAATGGGATTGCTTTCGAATTACGGACGCGGATGTGTTACGTTTAAATTGAAAATAATAAGTACGAGATCAAATGTTATTGCGTCGAATCCGTACTTTATAGTTTATATATCTACGATTTATGAGTGGCACGGAAGGTTAATATAACAAAACAAGTTTCAGCAACGTTCGTCAGCCACAAACGTCGAAATCGAATGGCAGAGACAGCACAATATCGAGAGAAAAGCAACCATTTGCTCTCGTAGCCTGTTTTATCGGGATATGGAGCCATAAATTCTTGTCGTGAGATTGAATATGTATAACGAAAGAGAAACGGAGAAGTCGGTCTATCTTGCTGCTGCCATACAGTTGCAATTATGATGATCGGTAGATAGTAGATCAATAACATAAACGATAAAACGACTAATTGCAACTGATTGATTCGGTTTGGTTGACAGAGAGCCTTGCAGCCGTTCACATTCGTTTCGTTCGTTGTAATCTTGTTGTTCAAATCTTCAAAGTTATTCGACGCAACGAGCTACGTATTACGTTGGAATCTGATCATTTGTTAAACAATTATCTATATCATGGTGTCTAGCATAAGGATAGTATTTGGTAGATGTAGTATTTACTCGCGCGCAGTGTCATTTTTTCATTAATATTTAATCGCATTGTACATGTATCATGAAGGTCGATAACTTAATCGCAACATTTTTTTAAACGACGAAGGTGTAGCAGTGTGTTAGACTGGTTTTTGAGTAAAGAAAAACGTTTACGAAATTATAAAGATTTTTCTCAATTGTATCAGAATTAAAAAAGTCATTTAGAGTATGAATAAAATCTGACCCAAACTTTTCATGGTGATTTTAATAACTAATAAATAAATTAGATGTATTTTAAGTGTTGTTCATAAAAACGAGTTGTATTTATATAACTACAGTTATAACTGAAATATTATAGTTTCTGTATTGAAGAAATGTTACAGCATCTAGCAAAAAAAGCTAGAAATAGTGTGTTAAGTTTTGAGCATCCGTACTGATAAAACGATTTCAGATTATTTAATCTAATTTCTTTTTCGCATTTATCCTTATTATCGCAATCAGAAAACAACGTTCGTAACAATGTTTCTTTACAATAAAGAGCT